TAAATAACAATTTTGTTATAACGTTTAAATTGGATTACTATATTGCAATAAAAATGCAACAATATATAAGAATATGTAAGAATATGTAAGAATATGTTAAGAATATGTAAAAATTTTGCCCATCCCTAATCTAGATTAGAATTCACAACTCAACAAAATTGGTCAAAGACATCCATAACAAGCATGCAGTGTTTTATAACATAGTACATAGGTGTTTAGATAACATATTTATGTCGGGAGCAAAAAAAAGCCCTAACGTTAATAAACATTAAAATTATGTGTAATGTGAAAAACTTGTGTATATATCGTACCTCGGATTAGAATAGGCGTAGGTTTAAGCGTAAAATTAAAATTTGACTCGCGTCATACAAATGCTATGATAATATTTAATAAATTAACAAAAATTGGTTCTCTTAAAATTTTTTCACATACTATTTATGTATTTTATATGTCTAAGTATTATAGAGTATTCATTTATTACACGTAAAAATTTCGGTAGCTATTTTAATGGGGTCCGCATTATTTCACCGACTATCACTTATAGACACCACATTTCACTGACAATTATTCATCGACAAGTACATTTTACCGACAGTCTATTTCACCGAAACTTATTTTACTGCCAATTTTTTTTTTATAAATTACACTAACTTTAGCTCTAATTCTAACCTAGCACTAATGATATTGACCAGAATTACTTTGTCTGTAGAATGAGCTTCGGTGAAATAAACTGTCTGTGAAATTAATTGTCAATGAAATGTGGTGTCTATGAAGTGATTGATCGGATCCCATCGTCAATAGACTCATGGGTCTATCATAGAGTTTAAAACGTACGTACGTACGTACATACCAGACCCGGATCTTGTACAATTACGGTACACAGCATAAACCATATTAGGTAAAAAGACACCCGATATACAAAACCGAATACATGTTATAGGATGACCAATCAGATGGATGTATTTGCGCACGAAAAATTTTTAATTCAAAAGATCACCGAATTTTTAATTCACGGGTTGGGTTACACACATATTTGTTTATAATAGTTGTTTACTTTTAAAAGTACAGTAAGTTATCATTATGTTGTACGTATTGATAAATACAAATACTATTAAAAAATCTTGTGCGTTTTCTCCGGACACACAATGCTATGCATTTCTTAGTATTAATTTAGTGCATGATCGAATAGATATTCTTTTCAACCCGATCTTTAATGAATTAAAAATTATATAAGCTTCTCATTCTCCTGAGAGTAAGAAAAGAAATTATCAAATAAAAAACTCCGATAAAAGTTTTGCAAAAGATGTCTAAACCTCAAGTTGCAATAATTGGTGCAGGTAATAACCTTTTTTTGCCTCATGAGTATCATCCTTTATATCTTTCACATTCTAACATAATAAATAGGTCCAACGGGGCTTGCATCCATCAAGCAATGTATTGCCGATAATCTAGAGCCCGTATGTTTTGAAGCTACCTCATATACCGCTGGACTTTGGCGTTATACAGAAATTACCGAAGAAAACAATGACCCACATTCTTCATGCTACAATAGCGTGGTCATTAATACCAGTAAAGAAATTGTAGGTAAACTATTGCGGCAACTTATGCTAAAATTTGACCTATTTTATTATGAAATTTTAAAATTTTTTGTAGACGCTAGTAAATTTAAATGATGACCCAAATTTCAGCATAAGTTGGCACAATTATTTCTTCTCAATTCTTTACAAAAAATTCTTGATTAATCATCTTAGGTTTTCGTAACATAGATGTCATTCTCCGATTTTCCAATACCTAGAGATTGGCCTTATTATTTACACAACAAACTTGTTGCCAAGTATTTACTTTATAATTTCATTATTGGTTCTATGTCGAACATCTCATTATAATAATATTGATAATCTAATATTGCAGGTACTTTGATATGTACGCAGAAAAGTTTCAGCTTATTCCTCACATAAAATTTAACACAACCGTCTTGAACCTGACAATTCTTCCTGATAAACGTTGGAACGTTCGATATATCACTAAAGGCGAAGAGGAAACCGAGCAGGTGTTTGATTACGTAATGGTTTGCACTGGTCATCATAGATATCCACGATTGCCAAATTATCAAGGAATGGATCAATTTCAAGGGAATCAAATTCATTCTCATTTTTATCGTGTGCCTTCTGATTTTGCGAATAAACGTGTTGTTATTGTAGGATGTGGAAACAGGTATGGATCACATTATGTAATTTATGAGCAAATTCGGTAAATTTATATTAATATTTTTTAGTGGAATGGATATTTCTGTGGAATTGTCTGGGGTCGCATCACAAGTTTATGTTTGCACTCGTCGAGGTATGCAAAATTTCATGTTTATGTCATTTATTATTTAAGTCGTATTCAATATATTGTCTTTTCTATAACTAAAGGAACGTTACCATGGATTTTGCCAAGACTTTTACGTGGAAAGCCTATTGATCACCACAATTCCCGTTTTTACACCACATGGTTACCCTCATTTGTTAAAGACTATCTTACCAAACGTACAGTAAAAACCACAATTGGTCCTTCTCCGATACCAGACCTGGAACCAAAAACTAATCCATCCAATTCTCATCCAACTCTTAAAACAAATTTTTACGACTGCCTTTCAAATGGAACAATTATCGTAAAACCAAACATCTTCCGGTTGAACAATGATAATTCCATTGAATTCATTGACAAAACTAAACTTGAAAATATTGATGCCATAATATATGCTACCGGATATAAAATTGAATTTCCATTTTTGAATAGTGAAGTTGTTAATGGTGGTGACGAAATTTTAAAAATGTTTGATGAAGAATATAGAGAGAATTTGGTTTGGCTATATAAGAGAATGTTTCCACCAAAATATCCAAATATTGCTTTCCTTGGATTGGTTCAATTGATAGGTGCTATCTTTCCCTTAAGCGAAATGCAAGCGCGTTATGTGACAAGTCAAATCACTGGTCACATACCAACACATCCACCTATTTCCAAAATGTACAAAGAAATTCAAGAGCACCAAACATCGTTACAAAAACGTTATTATACCTCGGCAAGGCATACGATTCAAGGAGATTACTTCCAGGAATTGGATAATTTAGGTACTATATCTGCCTTCTTAGTAGGGGTCTGTAACCCGGGCTCGTGCCTGTGCCCAGTGAAAAATCTAGGCAAGGGAATGGGCATGGCTCGGGCACAAAAAACTCGGCATGAGCACGGGCACAGGCACAGAAATTGAATATTTATTATTTAATTGTGCCTGGCACTTGTGCCTAACATTTTGTGCATATGCCTTTAATAATGCCTTGCACTTTTGTGCCCATAGGCACAGGCACACCATAAGGCACTAGTACCCGGCCTGGTGTCAATGTGCCGGGCATGGGCATTTGCAGACCCCTATTTCTTATGTAGTAACTGATTACTATAATATTAACGGCATTTTATCTTTTTCTCATTCAGCAAAAGATCTAGGTTGTTATCCGTATCCATTGCAAACTATATGGAAATATGGAATTAATATGTATTGGAAAATTTTATTTGGTGTCCCTACTGCTATCCAGGCAAGTTAATTTATTTCCCACATGAAGCTGAAAATGTGTCTTTAGTACCTAGCTGTTTAATTAATTATTTATTGGACTTTTAGTATCGTTTATTTGGGCGACAGTCTTGGGATGGTGCGGCTAATGCAATTAATATTTATAACGGCTGTCAACCATCTACATCTAAAAAGAATCTCTGATTGACAAAAAATAAGAATTTTTAATTAAAAAGTAGAAACTTAGAGAATATTAATAGCAATTTAATGTAGTGCTCAATTTAAGAAAATTATTATATATTACGGGTTTGTGTTTTAAAAATAATTCTAAAGAAATGTATTTAAAAAAATATTTTCAATCAAATACTATGTGAACTAGCAGTAGCCATTTTTATTTATTTATTTATTTACAAAGCTAGTCTATGACCCGCTACATAATTTAATGGTTTGGGTAATTCGTTATGTTAGCTTGTTTATTTTATTATTAAAAAATAATCATATTAAAAATTTACCGATATAATAAAACGTGAAGATATTAAATGCCTTAATCTAAAAAAAGACTATCTAATTTCAAAAGATTTTACGATTAGGTTTTTGGATAAATAAATAAATCTAGTTATATTAAATATCTTTGACTAAATTGCATAAAACATAATTTAATAATAAAACAACAAGTAATTTTGACATTTTAAGCTGATGAATCTACTTTTTCAATATATTCGATCAAGTCAACAATTCTTGTTGAGTAAGCAAAAATTTTATTTATAAAAGAAATTAATTTTATTATAAAGAAAAGTGATAGTGAAAAATAACTTACATTCATTATCATACCATGCAATAATTTTGATAAATGTAAGATTCAATTGAATTCCTGTATGAATAATTGAAAATAATCATTATCAGCTATTGTACGATTATTTATTTATTTTGCAATAACACGTACCAGCTTTAACATCAAAAACACTGGAATGAGCATCGTCAATGAAATCCGATGAAACAACCTGGTTGTAGGTTATAAATAAATAGTTAAAAGTACAACTCTTTATGACAAATCTGAAACTTACCTCGTCCTCAGTATATCCAAGAATTCCTTTATATTCGTTTTCAGAAGGACGCTTCATAATTATTTTAATTTCCTCATAGGTGGCTTCTTTCTTCAAACGAACTGTCAAATCGACCACGCCAACATCCGAAACAGGAACCCGAAAAGCCAAACCTGTTAGTTTGTTGTTTAATTATGGTAAATTGTGCAATAACAATTATGAAAGAACAGGTATGTAAGGAAGGAAATGTAAATGACAGCATATGGAACTAAATAACGATGAAATCTGTAGATATGCTGACTTTACCAACTGCTTGGGCAGCTCCCGTATAACTAGGGATAATATGTGCTACAAAGGTATTAGAATTTAATTGTGCAATAATTACAAGATTAATAGTATTATTATTACATACAAGATCCTCTTCCATTTCTCCAATCCTGAAGACAAATTTAAGCTTTAATAAAATCATAATCAATTACAACAGCATTATACATACTTTGCCAGAAGGATCATCAACAGTTTTTTGGGTTGCTGAACTGTTGTCATTAATCCTTCAACGATACCAAAATTATCATTAATAAGAACCTTAGCAATGGGTGCTAAGCTAAATTTACACCACAAACAAACATCGGTGCATCATCACTTGGTGCACAGATGATTACCTGATTTTACATTTTTGTTAGGTACCAGCAGAATCGCATGCTCATGGTAATTTTTTTATGAATTAAGTTATCATTTTGGCGCCCTATTATAAATGATAAATTAATATAAAAAGAATATAAGGAAGTCAAAGTTCCTATTAAATTTAAAAATTTTAAAATTTGATTTCCAAACAGCATTAATTTATACCTTGTAAGTGAAGTAATGCTTTTTCAATAGTTTTAAAAATGCCGTATGATTCAATTATTATAATCAGCGCCAATTTCTCCCCACTTTATGTTACTAGGGTTCTTTTTAGTGATACGGGCTGATGCCAAACCCTTAGGCTGGCCCGGCTAGCAAAAAAGGTTGGGCCGGTTGACCGGGCTGACCTTGTGATATTCAGGGTACTCTCAAGCGCCTTAATCAATAGATCGGTGTATAAATTTTAATTAATAAAAATCAGCTTAGCCGGTCAAGAGAGTTTATCACCGCAGTCAAAAAAAAAAGATGGTTAGTGACCATCTTTTTTCTTTATAGAGCTGCGCTGATTGGCCAAAATTTATCATAGAGTGAGATTATTCAAACACTTTACGATCAAACCATGATTTTTTTTTTACGATCAAACCTAATTTTTTTTTGCGATTGAACCATTATTATTTTTTTTTGTCAAATCATTTTTTTTTTTTTTTTTTTACAATCGAATCATTATACTTTGCACTAAATACACTTCTAGCAATATGGATCTTTGCCGTAAACAACAAATTACTTTTTTACTCTTCGTGCTAAAACCTAAAAAAAATTTTTATTAATTCTTTATAAAAAATTACAAATTTAAATAAAATTCAATATATACTTCTTCATATTCGCTATTATTTCTATTTAAAACTAAAGAGCTAAATAATGGCGCAGAAGAATAATGTTGTAACAGCATATGAAAATTTGTTAAATCCGTAAAAGGAACAACAGGAGTATTGTAATTAGCCGAAGGGACAATAGAACTATTTGGAATTGCTAAAGAAGTAGCAGAGACACTTGAGGTAGTTGGAACAAATACATTTGAAGTTGTCGGTAATAGTAATATATTATTTGCTGCCTCGGTAAAGAGGAAGACGCATAAAAATTATTGGTAAAGAGGCATATGTAGCTATACATACTACCTCATGACCTTGTGTTTTTAGAGGCCACCCTGGGTCATATAATAGCAATCCCTGCACAGATCCGATTCTGAACCATTATTCAAATTCACATTATGTGAGAATGCTCAAAAATATACTTATTAAAAAGGTTATTGCAATAGCCATAAATGCAAGCATAAATAGCTTGAATTAAAATTCTTTTTTTAATCATGTTGCATAATCAAGGGATTCAAGTGTATTAGTGTATAATAACTATGTACTCCTCATTGTTACTGTTTTTGATATGATAGCATCTTTTATTTTGGATAATACCGCTAATGTTTTTTATATATTTAATATTTATTTGAGAAAAAAAATTTATATTAACATTTGATCGACCGGCCCACATCTAAGAGGCATGGGCTGACCCTTAACCGGCCCGCCAGCCCGGCTGATGGGCCGAGGTTAGCCCGTATCACTAGTTCTTTTCGGCAAAAACAGAGATTTCACAATTGTCTACAAGTAATTTTCCATCTTTTGTTTCAATTTGACCTTTGAAACGTCCATGAGTAGAATCGTACTTGAATATTTATACGAAAATATAAAATTTCTTTTGTTAGATCTTTTAAGTATATGATTCTGTATTCTGATTTGCAAAAAGTATTTGTACACCTATAGGGATTCAAGCTAATTATATTGACTAAAGTTACAAAAAGCTTCATCATACGAAATTTATAAGTGTCCGAATATGACAACAAATCTAAAGTGTTGGATGTTTATTTAATACAATTATGTCACTGGGTATGATGTAGAGGTATTTTTTATTCCCTAATCAATTTTGAATGTTAAATAACTAGTTTAGATCGACGGAAGCATTTACCATATTGGTCGTTTTCTAGGAAAACCACAGATTGAAAGGTAGTTTTAAGAGAAAAATGCGAATGAATTTTGTGCTACTTAAAATTTAATCGCATTTTTCTCAAAATTAAAACTACCCTTCAATCTGTGGTTTTCCTAGAAAACGACCATATGTTCAAGGCTAATGAATGGATCGTTTAAAGCAACAACTTGAACATTCTGATTATTTAAACAAGCGCGAAGAACAAACCGTCCTATTCTAAAACTAAGAAAATTATGTGAATGCTCATTTTTATAAGATTATCTCTACATTTCGCTCAGTGTTTCGGCCTAAACAGAAACTTCGAAACTGGCAAAACTTCCTAAACGGGCGAAACTTCCAATACTTTCGAAAAAAATAGCCAATAAAATACGAAAAATTTTCAGATCATGTGAAAAACACATGCATAAATAAGCATAAAGTTACATCCGATACTAGGCGAAACCGAATTGGGTGAAACTTCCGAAATATTCCGAGTAGAAAATCAACGAACGTAAAATACGAGAGTAAAAATAGAAAAGGTCCGAAACTTTCCGAAAGATAGAAGGATGGAGGGTTTGGAAGTTTGAGTTCAGAGGGTTTCGGTATTTTGGGGAGGTTTTGGCCGAAACACTGATTTCGCTACAATTTCATACCAATTTTAATGGCCGTCCTGTTTCAGTGCAAATATGAAGATTTTCGTTATGTAAATATTTTCAAATTTTATCGATATAATACGTATATAGAATATCTTAGAAAAATCAAGCATAACGAAATTTTAATTGTAGTTAGCCAATCAAATTGTAACAATTGATAATTTTTAATTCATTAAACAGAAGAGACGTTGATGTTACACGACTGATCCTTCACCTGGTGTGCAACATGTAAAAATTTATTTTACAATAAAAATGATGTTGGATTATAACCATAAACATGTACTAGCGAATGATCTAGTATTGTAAAATATTTTTTTATATGTTGCACACCTGGTGAAGAATCAGTCGTGTAACATCAACGGTCTTATTTGATTTACACTAGCGCAGGGGGCGTTATTTTGAATAACGGCCCGAATTAGGCTTAATTTAGGCCAAATTTCGAAATTACACCCCTGCGCGTTATTTCGCGCTTATACGGTATAAAGAATTTCAAATTTATTGAGATGGCAGGATTTGTTTTTTTTAATGCAAAATTTTATTACTGACTTGCGAATATCGCACCAATCATCCCTAATTTTGGTTACAACGAATTTTTAATTGAGAATTTAAATCCAAATAGCCAATCATATTACAGCAATTAATTTTTAATTCTATGTCGATATTGGTGTTACATTACTTGATTCAACATACGTAATAGATTTAGAAAAATAATCCCTAATTTGGATACAATAAAATTTTTAATTGCCGATCAGACTACATTAATTTTTAATTCTATGTCGATGTCGGTGTTACATTACTTGATTTTATGCCTACATACTTTGGAAAAATTCGCGATCAGGAGATTTTTGATCATTCTGAACCAACCAGAATAATCATACGATACAACAAATTTTAACTTAGAATTTTATTTTAATTCTATGTCAATATTGGTCCCCCCCTTTAGATAACATAACATAGTGATGGCAGAAAAAAGGTGATTTTTATCGTTCTGAACTTAATAATGCAACCAGAATATAATACCAGCATACAACAATTTAGACACAGTAATGTATTATTAATTTAAGTTTATAGATTATTTATTGGGTTACAATTACCTGATTGTGAATTTTTCTTCCACCACTATGTTACCTTGGGGAGTCCAATGTACTATTATGTAAATCAAAAATCGAATACGTATATGGGCTTATACTAGGTACTACATGCACCCCTACATTCTGATGCCGATCATTTCGGTGTAACATCTAATAAACATATTAATAAATTCGGAAGTTTTTTAAAAACTTCTAGCAATAACGATAATTACTCAATAACGACTTGATTAAATTCAACGAAAACTTCTTTATCTTAACTCTATAGTATTGTAGAATTAAAAAAAAAATTCATGGAAATTGGATTAGTAATTGTTGAGGAATAATCGCGAAAAGTATTTAAAATAACTTAAAAATATGAAATTGGGTAAATCTTTCTTTCTTTGAACTTTAAATGATAATATCTCGACACCCAATTGTGCAAATTCGATCAAAATTTTTTATTTTAATTCTGTTGGTTAGTAGAATTAAAATAAAAAAATTTGATCGAATTTGTATAGCTGGTTGTCGAGAAATATTCATTAAAGCTTAAAAAAAATTGGCCGCAACTTCTTTTTAAGGACATCAAAACTTTGAACGAATATTATTCAACACCAACCTGGTCAATTTCGATTAATTTTTTTTTTTTGTCGATCCTATGAGAAATAGAATTAAAATAAAAAAATTTGATCGAACTTGACCAGGTAAGTGCCGTGCAATCTTCATTCAAAGTTTAGGCACGTATAAAAAAAAGCCGTGACCAATATTTTTTTAACCTTCAATGAATATTTTTCGATAACCAGCTATTCAAATTTGGGCAAAATTTTTATTTTAATTCTAAAATTAACAGAATAAATAAAAAAAAACTTTGTCGAATTTGGATATTTATTTTTCGAGAACACTGTATTTAAAGTTTTTTTTAAAAAAAAAATTTAAAAGAAATGTTGCAACAAAGTTTTCATTTAAATTTTAAATGAAGATTTCCCGACAACCAACTATCCAAATTTAATGAAACTTTTTTTATACGCACCTAAACTTTGAACGAAGATTACACGGCACTTACCTGGTTAAATTTGATCAAATTTTTTTGGTTTAATTCTATATGCTCATAGGATTTACATAAAAAATTTTTAATCAAATTTGACCAGGTAGTTGTTGAGTAATATTCGTTCAAGATTTTGATGTCCTTAAAAAAGAAGCTGCGGCTAAATATTTTTTACGTTTACTGAATATTTCTCGACAATCAGCTTTCAAATTCGATCAATTTTTTTTTTATTTTAATTCTACAAACCAACAAAATTAAAATAAAAAATTTTTGATCGAATTTGGATAGTTGGGTGTCGAGATATT